CCAGGAAATCGCCACGCGTTTGTGTCATCTCGAGCAAGGGCGTAGGAACCGGGGGGAGGGGCACAGGGGCCACGTGCCCCCCCCCAAATTTTTTCAAAGGACTAAAAGTGCCCTTTTTTGTGATGAAAAGTGCCCTTTTTGTGATGAAAAGTGCCCTTATTGTACCAGCTTATGTCGCTGTAAATACTAAATTAACATCAAAGGTGCCCCTTTTGTGTGGAAAATTCCAAGTTTTTTAAAACATTTTGGTCAAAAACGTGCAATTTCGGTATGGTAGCACGGGAAATTTTTTCTTCTTCCCCCCACCCCGTCGCCAACATTTCAGGGGGAAATTTTTTAGGTGCCTTTTCAATACCCTAAAGTGCCCCTAGAAGCCGGTGCCGCCCCCCCCAATCTTTTAATGCTTCCTACGCCCCTGATCTCCGGGAGCCAACTACTTGATCGAGGTGGCATTTTGTTGTTATTACTGTTTTTATTAATGGCCATATTGACAGCAAATCTGCAACTTTAGTCTCCAAATTAAACTTAAAGTGGAAGTCAAGTCCGTAATGTAAACAAACGGTTTGTTTACATTTTGAACTGTTGTATTTTTTAAAATATGATGTACTGTCTGAATATCTAACACCATTTTGGTTCGCTATGCTTCTAAATGAATATGAAATAGAGTTTATGTTCAGAAGAATTCGAAACATTCGAAATTTGGTCAATGTTCACATTAGAGGTCCTCACATTGTTATGAGCAGAACGGATTTGACTTCCACTTTGATCTAATACATCAAACCTTGTTTCCCAACAGGTCATGTCATTTTGTCGGCCACCTCGTTATGAATTCCAATCTCTACGACAAATGTGAACATTGTTTCTATTTTTCGCATAAGCTTGGTTTCCATATGAGTGTAACTATCGCGAACGTGTCGTAAGTGTTTGTGGTGAATAATTTTTATGCTTGTTTCCATATGGTTGTAACTGTCGTGACACTGTATATTTTCAGTTTACGTTCTTAACGCCTGTGTTCTTTACGCCTATCTCCCATGCATGCTCACCCCTCTGCCTCATCCCCAGGCGCTAATAAAAAAATTTCATGCGAGTCAGAAATGAAATGTTTACATGAAGTAGTGCATCACGACGAACTATCGCAGGGAGTTGTGGGCCTTATCATATCCCACCCCCCTTTGCACGCCTATGATGTGACACACTACTTCATGTAAACCTTTCATATAGTGACTCGCATGAAATTTTTTTATTGGCGCCTGGGGACGAGGCAGCTCAGTCCTTATCTTAATACTATAATGAAAAAAATGTTGAGCTATTCTTAACGACTCCGTATTAAGCGACCACCCTGTATGAGGTAGCCACATATATAGGCCGCCGAAGCATCCCAAACGTGTGTGTGCGGGGAGGGGAGGGCACTGTCACACAAGGGCGATGCAGGAGCTCCTCGATTTTAAACAACTAGAAGTGTCCAGATGTATATTCCCACAGGAAAATTTTCAATTTTGAACATCGGAAATGCCATTTTTTGCATTATGAATGTAGGGTTTCTTCCTAAAATTTTTCTTCAAAGAACCCGTTTTTCTGACAAAAATTAACGACAAACATAAAAAATATACGGGGAGCGCCTGTTAAACTAAGAATAAATTTAAGATTTCCAACGGTCAGATCGTCTAGGACCGCGTCTTTGAACTTTAATTAAACTTTTATGATTGATCTTATACGTATAGGTAATAGCATGGTTTCGAGTACAATTTGGATATAACATGCACGAGTGAGTTTTTCGAAGACCTCAAAATACCACGAGTCCGAAGGACGTGTGCTATTTGAGGTCTTTGAAAAACTCAAGAGTGCATGTTTATCCAAATTGCACTCGAAACCATGCTATTACTTATTAATAATTTATATAAAAATGTTCGAGACAATTGTAGTTTTAACTTACGCGTTTATAGCGAACATTCAACTGGCAAAGTTTTCCTGGCTTTGTTATATCACATTATACAACGCTAACAGCTTCAAAATTCCACTCAACTATGTAATTTTTGTTAGTCTTGTTTAAGGTAAATGCTTTTCCATTTAAAAATAAAGATAAAAGCCATATTTTCCACGCGAAGACAACTTTTACTTTATGTAGCGCGGCGCCATGTTTGTTTTGTTTTGAAGCAATCGGTGACCGTTTACTTTTTTAAACTAAACTGTTTTAAACTGATTTGTTGATTTTATCATCACAATGTTTTTCCACCAATCAGATTAGTTTGTTACAGATTTTTGCACTGTTGTTACAGATTTTTGCACTGTTGCTACATATATTTGCACTGCTGTTTGGGATTAAATGCACTGAAACCAACCAGTCACAGTCGAGTAATATTTCTATGTATATTATTAGATTCCTAACACGCCGGGTCAGCTCTTCCCAAAAATCGGCCATCTGATATAAACTTTTTCAATACATTTCGGATGGACATGAAACTTGCTACATCAATATAACTTTCCATTCCGAACAATCGTATGTTTTTTATTTTTGAGATTTAACGGTTTTTGGCGGGAAAATGACGTCACGAAACCTCCTGTTAAAATTTACTTTCAATATCTTAATAGTTTTGTTGCAGAATTTGGATGAACATGTCATGAACAGTTCAAAACTGAAAACGGATTTTAAATATCTAAACCTAATCCAAAGTTATTTCACTATAAAAACCGTGAAAAATCTAAAAATAGTAACAAAATGGTGGAAAATTCGATTCTAAACTCCCTGTATCTCGTGATTAGATTAAGATATTTAAAATCTGTTTTCAGTTTTGAACTCTTCATGACATGATCTTCCACATTCTGCTTAAAAACTATTAAGATATTGAAAATAAATTTTAACTGGAGGTTTCGTGACGTCATTTTCCCGCCAAAAACCGTTAAATCTCAAAAATAAAAAACATACGATTGTTCGGAATGGAAAGTTATATTGATGTAGCAAGTTTCATGTCCATCCGAAATATATTGAAAAAGTTTATATCAGATGGCCGATTTTTGGGAAGAGCTGACCCGGCGTGTAATAACTAGCAATCTTCATCTAACATCTTTGTCTAAAAAAACATATTCGACTGGATCAAAATTAATTCACCACACTTTACATAGTAATTTATTTGAAAGAAATGTTATTTCAAGTTCGACCATCAGGACTAGACTAGATTTTCTTGCATTTTGATCCAGACTTCGCACCGGTCTTGATCAAATTGCGCGGACTTGAATTCTAGTGCAGTCTCCATTGTCGATTTGAACTATTACATATACAAGTTCGAATATACAGAAATAATTTTATTGACTCAAAATATTGCCTATAACCAAATCCAGTTCCTACAAATGTAAACCAGAAATATATTCTTCTATTCGGTTTAGGAAAAATCAATCTTCCACCTAGTGGAAACAGATTGGCAACTTTACCTGGATCAACATGTTATTTTCTGCGGTACGCAGAATAGCACAAAATTGATGTTTCCACGGTTCATCAAACACGTGACTGCCATGGTTATTGGCTGGGCGCCAAAGTGGTCGCATGATTTGGGCAGCTCATTCTAGTCTGGCACTGCATCAACACACACAAATTTTTTTACAAACAGTACTTTTAGTATTTTTACATTTATTATAAACCATCAACAAATCAAAACGGGCACAATGAACGAAGAATTGAGAACAGAACTCCAGAAACAACAGGAGTCTATGCTGGAAAAGCTGTCGGCCGTCATGGACACGAAACTGGGCCAGATGAAGCGTGAGCTGGAAGAAGTGGCAACCAAAGCACATTCCTCGCAAATGACAGAACTCAAGCGAATGAAGTTCTCGGAGCCGCCGTCTTTCAAGAAGAAAGACCAGGAAGTGCAATACAAACATAACGATTGAGTAAAACTTTGTATCACCGAGGCAGAGGACACAATCAAAGACAAGAAGCTAGACACGTGTCTCGAAAAGCTGAGTGAAGGTAAGGAGCAAATCGAGTCGAGACAAAAGCTAATTCTTCTTGCAGACAAATCCGAGTATGGGTGGAAAACCGTATCAGAATATCTCGATAACGAGCTTACCGACGATGAGGAGGACGCCAAAAAGATCAAGAAAGCCGAAAAAGAGGCCCAAGAAACGCAAAGAAAACTCGCGCCAGCAGTCGCGGTGGATTTTCGTGGTCGCGACGAGGATCTTTCAATGGCGGACGAACCTGGTTTTCCCCGTATTTAGGGCCACATCAACAGCCAGCACCATCGACTTATCCCAACAACCATCTCTACAGTAGTACAGTTGGAAAGAAACCAGGGATCTGTTTCTCGTGTGGTAAAGCTGGCTATTGCAGCCGTGAATGTCCTCTAACCACCAGGTTGTCGACTGAAGTACAGCAGAGTGGAGGAGCCGTACGAAAGTTAAGTGTAATTTCGTCAGATTATGAGGGGCTAGACGAAGATGTAGGTTCCTTTCCCAATGTGTTGGGCGAGGATAGTGAGTTAGAGCACTTTGCACAGGACAATGATACCCTGCTTGAGGAAGGGGAATTTTCCCAAGGTGATCCCAATCAGGGCCAAAAGTCAAATATTAGCTATAAATTGCCTGAATCTCATGATTTTCGTACAAAAAGCATATACTATTATTGCCGTAATTTTTCGAATGGCCAACCCGATTTTCCGAATATGTTAATTCTACAAAAGTTGGGGGGTTAGCCCCCCCCCAATCTCCCCCCCCCCTCGCTACGGTCCTGATTGCAGCAAAAGATGTTATCCAGTGGAGAAACACACCTGTTTGGGTTACTTAAGAAAACAGCTCTTCATGCTAAAGCAGAGGGAACTGTCACAAACTATACAAATAGTTTACGTAGATGGATAGAATTCGCTAGAGTTAAAAGTTTCAATGTTTTTTCCGGCATCGGTTATAGATGTTTCGCTGTTCATATCGCATTTATCCACTACTTGCAAATCATCCTCAGTTATTCAATCTAGTTATTGTGCCCTTAAATGGGTTCATGATATTGCAAGTATACATAACCCCATGGAAAACAAATTTCTTCAAAATTTGGTGGAGGGTGCCAAAAGAGAGCATGCCAAACCAGTTTCCAAAAAGGCTCCTGTTACCAGTGAGGGCCTAGAGGAGTGTTGTACAAAGTATCAGGGTTGTGACACACTCACTGTGCGTAGAGACATCTCTATGGCATTGCTATTGTTCGCTGGGTTTCTTAGGTACAACGAGATTGCAGACCTCAAATGTGGCCATTTGCGACACTAATTTGCAACTAACAATAAGAAAAAGCAAAACAGACCAATGCAGGAAAGGAAATGAACTAGTCATTCATAGGTCGAACAAAATTACCTGCCCAGTACTTAATCTTGAAAAGTACGTGCGAGTTGCTTCCATCCGTTTAGATCACAGTGCAATTTTTTTATTCCGGGCGGTAACCCATACCAACGCAGGGTACAAGCTAATCGACCGACACAAACCCCTTAGTCAAACTAGAGCACGGGAATCTATCATCGGTAGACTGCAGGAGTTCATGGGAGATGCCAACATTTCCTTGCACTCATTCAGATCAGGGGGGGGGGGCTACCAAAGCAGCTAATGCGCAAGTGTCCAACCGATGTTGGAAACGATATGTTAGATGGAAGTCTGATACAGCCAAGGACGGTTACGTTAGAAGATACACTCGACAATCGCCTACAGGTTTCCAAGGCAATAGGGGTTTGAATGCTCTGACCCTTTCTAACTTTATCCAAATCTAGTCGGGTGCAGTAGCCAGCAACCTTATTAGAAACGTTGAAATTGTTGTGTTATTTATTTGGGTTGGGAAAATAGGGTGAACATGTTATTTTCTGCGGTTCGCAGAATAGCAGAAAATTGATGTTTCCACTGTTCATCAAACACGTGACTGCCATGGTATTGGCTGGGCGCCAAAGTGGTCACATGATTTGGGCAGCTCATTCTAGTCTGGCACTGCATCAACACACACAAAATTTTTTACAAACAGTATTTCACCAGCAAAATTTACCAAAGGTGTAGGTTCTTGGGAATGCTTACATAGGTCGTAAACAGATTATTTAGAGTTTAATGTTGTTAGCTAATGCTTGTATGTTGGTCAACCTTACACCCTCGAGATTGTTATTTGGAGCCTGAATCTGCATTCGGGAGGGTCCAGTTTTCCCCACAGGGGTTTTCCCAGGCGGGCAGCAGGCTCACTTAGTAGCATTCGTAACGTTTGGCGATTAGATAGCAGAGAACATAACACAGGGAGGGGTTGTATTAAATAGGAGAAAAAAGGAAATAAAGTTAAGGTGGGCGGCGAGCATTCTTCTAGTCTAGTCGGGTGCAGCAGCCAGCAACCTTATTAGAAACGTTGAAATTGTTGTGTTATTTCTTTGGGTTGGGGAAATAGGGTAAACCTATATTAGGTAAGGCCCTCGTAGACGCTGGTCATGTGACTCCAAGAATTTAGGACATTACGTAATTGTTACTTTTCTAATCCGGGGGGCGAATTGTAGAGGTAGAAACTCGAAGACAAACAGTTTTTATCTCCGAAATTCTTCAATCTTCCCTGTGAATTTTGCATTTCAAATTTTTTTAAAAATCTAACAAACGGATCAATGGTTTCTCTAGAAAAACACAGTGAGGTTTGTTCGTACGCGATGTTCAAAAGACTTGGATATATTGCTCGTTGTACTGTCACTTGTACAGGTTTTAATATGGTTTAGTACTTTATTACGAGGCAAACGAATGGAATGAAATTCAACTATTTTATGGTCTTGTTTAATGACTAAAAGTTGGCTTGTAGAAGGACAAATATAATGATGCAAAAGATATGCCGGAATAATTCAGCTTCAAGCTAGAGACAAGTATATGCACATTCGTATCTATAAATACATGGACAATGGTCATGAATATTTCAACAAATATATGTAAATATGATATACCAGTAAAAGGATTGCTGTTGTGCAGTATATGTACAAGTGCTGTGCTATTTACGTTTTTAACAGAGCCGTTTTAACTAACATGCCAAATGATCCTTGACAAAGGTAGTGGTGGATTGTTGCACTTGCTGGATGATATTGCAGCCAAGGATTGTTTCAGAGGTAGAGTCTTGAGATCAGGGACGTCGTTATAGGGGGTGTAACACCCCCCCCCCCCCACCCCCCACCCCCCCATAATTCAAACGTTGGTCAAGTTTGTCAAAATGGAAGTGATATTTGCCCAAAGTTTGTTAAAATGGAACTGATATTGCTTAAAATTGAAGGTAAAACTGTGGAAAATTCGGTAAAAGTTTGGGATAAAAATGGTGGAATTTGCCCAAAGTTATGAAATGGTTCGCAATTTTAACAATTTTAAAGCTTTTGTTATGCGCGTGCGATGAAAAAAATGGAAGTTTTGCTCACCTTGGTTAAAAAATGTTGAATTTACCTATGATTGCCCGGAAAATTTTATTTAGACAATGCTTATGTTAGGACATATGCGGTACTTGATCATCAATTGCGTCCCCACCACGGGGTTAACGTTTTGATTAGTAGTTTGGCCCCGAGTTGGGGCAATTTGAACAGAATTAATTTTATTAGTATAGTATTTATTGCAATTTATTGCGAAATGGTGGGGGTATTTGATCAATATTTATTGCCCGACGGTGGGGCATTTAATTGAAAATTTGCTCAAAAAGTCAAATGCCCCACCTATGTCCACCCCTCCCCCCTGTGGGGCTTAACATTGATAGGTGCATAATCAGTGGGATGATTTTTGCTTAGACAGCCAAAACCAAAGCCAGTTTTCTATAATTAATTCACAGAATCAACCCGAAAAGCTAGTTGTGCTATGCAAGTAAAAAAAACCTGTGCATGTGCATCCCTGAATTGAATTGAAGTGACTGGTGCAAATCGTCAAAATAATAGAGAGATTATATTTGACTTCCACTACTGCTATCGGATGCAGCTACCAGTGATAGGTATAGCAGTAGTGGTAGTGAAACGGTTTTCAAAGAGACCAGGCGTTATTTGCTGATACATGCATTGTTATAACTTGTATAATCAAAAGCTACAATATTCATTTATGATATCAAAAATTGATATGATTATGTTTAGAATAACACTAATTTTAAAACAATACTCATAACTTGATAATTATTCATGCAGGTGATTGAATAAATCATATAGTGCGTCTATAAAATTCATTGACATTATTTTTCCAGTACAGTGTAAAACTATACAAATGTGACACAGGTTGAAGGTATTAGGTTGCATGTCCACCAGTGTGCTGAAATACCATCCAGTGACCTGGTCTTTCATCTTGCTCAATTTAACTGTCTATGCCCCATTACTCTACCCATACATTTCTTTTCAATAATCTAAAAAACTTCAAAATCATTCATTAAAATTTGGTTCAATAAATTTAATTAAAATATTTCGAAAAAAAGTCTTGTATATGCATATATATGGCTCTCAACCCTGTCAGGTGTTAGAGTAGAAATTCCATTGAAGCCTTCAGAAAATAATTATGGCAACAAGGTTACACGCCACACTGCGGAGTTAGGCAATTTTTGAGAAGATCTCGAGGGTACAAAAAGGTATGATGTAGGGGCAAGGGACCAAAATATAAAATTTTGAGATTTGGGCGGGGCAGGTTTTTACGAAGGGATGCTAAACCTTTTCTCTAAAAAATCTCTGAGCCGTCTCTGACAAACTGCAGATGTCATTGATATTAAAAATACTCATTAACTCTCTAACATTAATTAAATAATTTGAATGCTGAAACTGATGTTTGGCTAAATACCTTACATAATTTCAGGCCATCAAATATAAGTACTGATTTTGTGTTTGACTGCCTACTTGAAGTTACTGCTGTAGTCTACGTACAGTCTAGTTTACAGTGTAGACTGTAATTACAGTAAACATTTCTCGTAGTGATAAATAATTATATGGTAAACAATAATCATGTGAAGGTAGAACTTACGGTAACTAAGAGTCTGAGAAGTACAAATTCAGCAAACTATAATATACAAATAGCCTTCGAATTATTAAAGGTAACCGCATTGCGATATTTGCAAGAGTGTTATATTAAAAACTCATGGGAATCTGATAAATTGTAACAATAAAATACTTCTAGACATTTTTAAATATAACATACCTTCTACTTGATGGAAATACTACAAGAAACATATTATAATCTCTATAATCATATTCTAGAAAATCAGGATTTTTAGCATGCACTCCCCCATGACTGCCAATGGGAATTTTAATGATATAAAGAAATACTCCCAGATTCTGGGATGGAGTCACATGACCAGCGTTTACCAGGGCCTTGCCCGCTGCAGCCCCTGGGTACGAGGTTGCTTGCCGAGATCTCGCTTGAATTTGCCGAGATCATAGGTAGGCGGGATGAAAATTGTTTCATATGAACACGCCAGCCCGCTTACCGGGATGAAGTCAAACAAGTCTTGCCGTCTCATTTAACACATTTTACTTAGTTTTATGTTTGTTTTGTAAACAAGTATTAAATATGCACCTAAAGCAATACATGTTGTTGAAAATAAACGATGGAAAACACTAAAATCGCTAAGTATTTGTGTTGCTTGACTGAAATGTAGAAGTTTTACATACGTTAGCTAATTATAGAACTAGATTGTAATTTAATCTGCGCAAGCGGAACGAAATACTCCATATGAATGCACGGCAATATTCGTCTCGGTAGGAAGACGTCTAAGACGGTTAGTAAAAAGAACAACAACAACAACAACAACAACAACAACAACAACAACAACAACAACAACAACAACAACAACAACAACAACAACAACAACAACAACAACAACAACATTAGCAGCGATTGGGGATCAGTTCCTGGTCCAAACATTGGCAGGAACCTTATGGAAAATTTAGGTAAAAATAAGCAGCTCATTAATATGGGCGCAGATGCCCCAGCGAGTAATTAAAGCCCTATTAATTTCAGTCATGCCCGAATAGTCTAGTCAAATAAAACTAAACTGTACACTATTAAAAACCCTGTAATTTTACAGCAAAAAGTACTGGCAGCTGGGACGCCAGAAAGTGTACTGCATGCATGCAATTTTACAAAAACTGTTTTTTAATTAACCGAAGTCTATATTTATACCGCAAAAAGGCTGTAACTTATTTCGATCTTTCAAAACACGGCTATTGCACCATAACTTGTAATTACGGTGCACTTACTCTAAAAGATTACGGTAAAACACATGTCAAGTAACGGATTTCTTTTTAAATATTGTCAATGTTACCGTAATTTACAACTACAGAATAATTACTGTAAAATATTACTGTCAACACATGTCAAATAACAAATCTCGTATTAAATACATTCGTCTATTATACTGTAATTTACGATTACAGTACACTTACTGTAAAAAATAGCAGTACAGTATTCGGTAAAAACAGATATGTTTAACAGTGTGGAATATATTTATGAAACTATTCTAGAGATAAATGCAAGAACTAAACGTTCACTTATTAAACAACATTTAGCATCAATGTCCAATGAAAACTAAACACGACTAAAATTACATTTAATTTTAATATACAGTATCTTGCACGAACTAAAACTAAACGCGAACCAAATATTTAAGTCCAGGGATAAACCTTGAACAGCAATCGTGCAGAACATTTCGGTCAACAAATAGCACGCTTAATTAATGATGACCTTGGCAAGTTCTTCGTGTATGCCTAAAAGTTCTTCCAAAGCTTTTTGAAAATGAAATACTTGTTTCAAGCAAGAACTGATTGAACTATTATACTAAGATATTTTTTCTTTTCTAATTAACTAAAACTAAAGTGAGACTAAAGTGGGATTTTTTATTCAAAGTTCAAACTGGAACTGAACTAAAGTTAAAATGATTTCTTTTTAAACGGGAACCGAACTATCAAAACTTTTCTTTCACACTAAACAATGGATGGTTAAAATAAGTTATTTTTAGGATCCATGCTAAAACTAAAATGAGAGTCTTCTAAAATCATTATGAATTTTTCATTTCACACTAGAACTAAACTGAAACTAAATTGAGATTTTTGTTTCAAATTAGAACGGAACTAAAATGAAACTTAATCTTTTCGTTTTAATTAAACTATTATAACTAAGAAACTAAAACTAAATTGAAATTCTTGTTTCCAACGAGAACTGAGCCAAATTAAAACTAGATTCTCAATATATTTTTCAATTCAAATTCGAACTAAACTAAAACTAAAGTAAGATGATATCAGTGGCGAAGCCAGATGTCCTGTTTGTCCTGCTTGTCCTGCTGAGCATGACATACAAAATTTCAGATAATGAATTTTTTACGCATATAATTTTTAAAAGATAACACCTATTCATGCAGCTTGATATATGTTCTTAT